CCGCCGCCGCCGCCGCCGCCGTTCTCGCTGGCTTGGCCGCCGCCGCCGCCGCCCGCCTGCGCCGCGCCCGGCCCTGCGCCGCGCGTGGGGGAGGGCTGCGCCCGGAGGAGAGGCGTGGGACAGAGCCGTCCGCGCCGGGGGAGCTTCGGTCCGCATGGCGGCCGGCCAGCCGTCCCGTTCCGCCCGGCCCGTCCCCGCGGCGGTGGTCTCGACCCGGGCTCGCGCGCGCCCCGGCGGCCTCCCTCCCCTCCCCTCCCCTCCCCTCCCCGGTTCCCCCGCCGGGGCTGCCCCGGCGCCTGCGCTTCCCATATATAGGCATCTAACTGCACGCTCAAATGGCAGGGCGGCGGCGGCGGCGGCGGCGGCTGCCTGGAAAGGGGGAGTAGCAGCAGGCGAAGAAAGGAGGAGGGGCAGGAGGAGGAGAAGTGAGGCGGAGGGGAGGAGGAAGGCGCGAGCCCTTTCCCAAAAAAGTATTGGGTGTCCTGAGGAATGCACGCGGCCCCCGCGGACGGTACATATCTGCCGGCAGCCGCGTAGCGGGCGCTCGCACTTCGCCCAGCCGCCGTCCCGCACAGCCAGCCGCCTCCTCCGGGAAGGGGTCCCAGTCCTCGCCGCGCCAGCCCCGAGTCCATTTTCCGCGCGGAGCCGCCCCCGAGCCCCGACCGCCGCCGCCGCCATGGACGCCATCAAGAAGAAGATGCAGATGCTCAAGCTGGACAAGGAGAACGCCTTGGACCGCGCCGAGCAGGCCGAGGCCGACAAGAAGGCCGCCGAGGACCGGGGCAAGCAGGTGGGCGGCGCGGGGCGCACTGCCCGTCGGACGGGGCGCGACCCCCGGCGCCCCGCATGCGGCTCGCCCGGCGGCGGCCAGGAAGGGGCTCCAGCCCCGGGCCTCTTGACCGGGAAGTGAGCCTCGTGGGCAGGCTGGCTTCCGGGACGGCGCGCCGCTGCCCGCGGCGCCAGCCTCCCCAGGAGTGCTCCGGGACGAAAGCCCCGTCGCCCGCTGCGGGCCCAGGGCGCCCCGCAGAGGACGGGCGCTCTTCCGCGGAGGGGGAGCTTGCTGGCCGGCGGGGCCGCGTCGAGAAACGGGCTTGCTCCCGTGCCGGGCTGCCCCCGCCCCGGGGGGGGGGGGGGGGGGGGAGGGGAGGGGAGGGGAGGGGGAGGGGTAGCCCCTCCGGCTACCGGGGACGGGGCTGCCGCAGAGTCTTTGGGAAAGGCAGCGCCGATGAAGCTGCGCGCCGGGAAAGGCCGCTTCCCGCGAGGCGTGCCGAGCATTTTTTCTGCCACACGCAAAGCACACAAAAGCCGCACACGGTCGCGGCGCCGCGAGAGGCCTGAGCGCGCACTCGCGCGGCTCCCTTCCGAGGAAAGGGCTCCGGGACGTCGAGCTGTTGCCGATCCCCTGTGCCCAGAAGCACCGACGGTGGAGTCAGCCCCTGTGATTTTGGGGCCTCTTGACTTCCACAGCAGGACTGCCTTAGTGCCCCAACCCAGGTGGCTGAGCCACGATTCTACCTCCCGGAGAAGAACATGCGGAAAGGGGGTCCCGGCTGGCCCCTGGCAGAGTCCTGCTGCAACTCACCCCCAGGATGAATTTGGCTGCCCTGGGGCCCCGGGGTTGACCTGCCTGTGATCGGGCCGTGCTCCATCCGTGGCTTAACCTAGCCAGGTCCTGTTGGGTCGGATTGGTTCCCTGGTCACTGGTTGGGGTCCTCTTCTAGTTCAGGCCTAGCACATCTGTGTGATGGAGACCATGCAAAGCAGCACAGCTGGCTCGGGAGGATTTCGAGGGGTGACCTGGGAGGGAGAGTGCGGTGGGATAAAATTGTGCTTCCTCCTCTTTTTGCCTCCAACCCGCATGGCTAGTTGGAGGAGGACATAACACAGTTGGAAAAGCAAATGCGCATCTCGGAGGATGAGCGGGACCGCGTCCTGGAGGAGCTTCACAAGGCTGAGGACAGCCTTCTGTCTGCAGAGGAGAAGGCCACCAAGGTATCCTGCCCAGGAAATGCTAACGTTTTTCCCTGTCTCCCCTCCTCTCTCCTCTCCTTTTCTATCTGCCTGCTGTTCTTCTGCACCCACACCTCTTCTCTGCGCGATCACGTTGCCTGCTGCACCCCCTCCTGCACCCCCTCCCCTGCCCTGACGTGTCCCTCTAGCTAGAGGACGAGCTGGTGTCCCTGCAGAAGAAGTTGAAGGGCACAGAAGATGAACTGGACAAATACTCTGAATCGCTGAAAGATGCTCAGGAAAAACTGGAACTGGCAGAGAAGAAGGCCACTGATGTGAGTATCCGCCCCTTTCCACGGACTCAGGCACTGCCTTCCCTTCTTGCGCCCCTCGGCCTTCCAACTCCATCACAAGAGACAAGGGCCCACGTCTCTGGACAGGGTGGGTGGGTGGGTGGGCAGGCAGGCAGGCAAAACCTTCACTGATTTCTTGGCATGATGGGTGCCATTCATCCCTAAAGAGTGAGGACATGATCCGGGTGCTCTGGGTCCCCCCAGCCTTGCCTTGAGCACAAGGGGGAAACGCCCCAGGGGTGACCGCAGTTTCCACGTAAAACTTGCAAATGTCTCAGGACAGTAGATGCTTTCAAAGGGAGCAGCTAGAGCTTTAAAACCGAGTGCCAACAATCCTCAGGGCTCCTGAGCCGAGGCTGCTATGCAGTCGAGGAGCAGGGGGACTGGTACCTGAGCGCATGGAGGCAGGCCAAAGGTGTGTGCTTTCCAAGTCAGAAAGGTAGCTGAGGCTCGCCAAGCCCCCTCTGCAAGAACCCGGCTCGGAAGATGATACTTGCTGGGCCTGCAATCCATAGGACAGCGATCCAGAGAAGAACCGCGGAGTTATATATAGTTCAGCACTTTATATGGTAGAGTGTGTGAGCAGTGCCTTAGCCGTCTCTCATCCCACCCACCTGTCTGGCCCCTGAGAAGTATTAAATAGTTCTCTGCGTGTAGCTCTCAAGTATTCGGAGTGTGTGAGCAGTGCCTTAGCCGTCTCTCATCCCACCCACCTGTCTGGCCCCTGAGAAGTATTAAATAGTTCCCTGCGTGTAGCTCTCAAGTATTCGGCGTCCTGTGCCTTGCAGAGCACTTCACATTCCCTGGGCGGGAAGGCTTCCTTCTCAGGTTGGAGGGGGAGAGATGTCCCGAGCGAGTGAATGATGTCATTTACATTTCATCCCTCTAAAAGCAACTGCCACCTCTTTCTAAAGGAAGAGGTCTGGTTTTGTTTTCTAGACGGGTTGACAAAAGCAGGCAGGGTTTTTGTTCTGGGGGAGTGTGTAAAAACATTGCTAAGTAACACTCTGAAGCGAGGAAGATCTTAGCAGCGCTGGAAGACAAGCCTTTAAAAGTTTGTTTGGTTCGTTGTGTTGGTTTGGTGGGAGAAAGGAACGTCTTGTGCCCAAGCAGAAAGGAATCTCTCTGACTTAATTTCAGCCCTTAAAACCACGGAGTGACTCTCTGTCTGGGAGTCGGACTGCCTCTAATCTGGTTCAGATGTGTTTTCTCCGTATGCGGCTTTCTATAGATGGGAGTCAGCATTCCAGTCAGGCGTTTATTTAACTTGTTCAAAGGAACCGCATATAGATCTAGGGGAGATATTCCTTATAAGGAAAAGAATGCAGACTATTTTCAAATAGCTGCTCTTGAGTGAAGGCTGGGGAGAGCCGAGAAATGCTACTGGATTCTCAGAATGAGAAAGAGACTTCTGCCATTGTTCCCTTGAGTGAGAAAGCAGGCCGGTTTATTTGCAGACTTTAAAGGAAATCGAGGGCCCCTTCTCCAGTCGTTTTCAAGGGATGTGCTACAAATCTTGCATTTCCACTCTGCACACCTTAAATGTGAGGGCTGATTTTGTACAAAGAGGTGCAAGGAAGATTCAGGGTCGATTAACTTGGAAGAGCAACTTGGCTAGTGAGGGAGGAATTTCCTGGAGTGGTGCAGACAGACCTCACTCCCTGGAGTGAGCTCACGGTTATCGGCTGAGGTCGGGTGATGGTGGAGGCGTGAGTCATGCCAAAGCCGACACATCACTTCCTTTCCAAGACACACCGGTTTGCCTAACTGAAGGGAGGAAATGGCTTAATGAGTAACTCCCTGGGCGTTGCTCTGCTCCTGGCTTGGCCTCTTCCACCGGCTGGTGGAGTCGTGCCAGGTGCCCAGGACTGCACAGGTGTGTCTTCCTAGCTGACCTGCCATGGTGCTTCTTGCAGAGTCTCTCGTTGCCAGAACCTTTCTGTAGAGTGGATCTCCCCAGCCAAACATGTTCTGCTTGGGGAAACGGGCAAAACAAATTCCAGATTCATGCAGCCTTTAACTGCCGCGTGTTGACTCAGAAGTGAGCGGAATCGGCCTTACTCACTAGCAGGTGCTTCGGACTGCAGCCTCGGGGGGAAGGCCAGCTGGCATAACAGGCCTTGCACCTGAGCCTGTAAAATTGCTGCCGGAAGCCAATTGCAAAATTTCTGAGGTGCCCATTCTCACATCCTCATGGTGGATAAATTCCCCCAGGAGAATTCTTGCAGTCGAAGGCTTCCTTGAGAGACAGAGCTAAGAGCAGTGAACAGAGGGAGGGAAGGCAGCAGATTGCTGGTGGTGCGTGCGCTTCCTCTGGGGCAGTGCCAAGTCTTTCCCTGGCATTCCTCGGTTGAAGGATCCGTTGTGGGTGGTGGCCTGGGCCGGGTGGACCAGAGCTGGTGTGGTAGGAAGGAGCTTGGTGTTGACCCCCTGTGGAGCTGTGTGCCTGCTGAGAACACCTTGGTGTTCCTTCCACGTCAGCCCGTCCATCGGTGGCTGCTGGCTTCCACTGCTGTGGCCAGGATGCGTCCCGAGCACCGGGGCCCTCCTCCTCTCCCCAGTGCCCTGAGCAAAGGACGACACGCTGGCTGGTATGCCGGGCCTCAAGGGCCGTCCTCGCCCAGTCTGGGATCCCTGGGGTTCACCTCCTGCTTCTTGGCCTCCGAAGTCCCATGCCTGCCCCACCCCTCTTTGGGGTTCTCCGCAAGCAAGCAAAGCGAGTGCTGCAACACTGTGTTGCAACGCAGCCATGCCCGCAAGCAGGTGTGCTGCTCTTTAGGGCAGCAGCCTTGCCGTCATAGCCTCTTCCAGACACCCAAAGCAGAAGCGGACTCGGCAGGCCAGTTCTCCCCCCACCAGGCCACCCTTTTGGTACCGTGTGGCTCCAGGAGACAGCCGGGCATCCCTCCGTCTTTACCAGGCTACTTAGAGGCAAGCAGCCCACTGCACTCCCTCTTCTGCTGTTTGGGACACCTGCGTCCCACAGGGCCCCCCATTTCTCAGAGACCCCCCTTTGCCTCCAGCCCTGCTGGCACTTGGCAGCTGATGGACTCCCACACCACAGTTCTCGGGGGTTCTGCTGCTGTTAGGCCAGGGCGAGCTTTGGGGTGCTGGAAGTTCTGTGATTTGGACAGCTGCCGCCCCAGGAGCGGCGCAGCGGTCGTGCCCAGAGCAGGAACACAGCAAGCGACATGAACCAGGAAGAGAACCCGGAAGCCCTGATGTGGCAAACCGACTCCAAAAGGTGGAGGGTCCATTTCAAGGCATGTCCCTGCTTAAAGATTTCCCAGCGTTCTCCCTTGCTCTGACCTAGCAGGTTTTCTCTCTTAACCCCGTTTTTGGTGGCGTTGGGAGGGCACTTTCCCACCCAGCTTGCATTGCAAGATAAGGCGCACACGTTCTGAGTCACTGCGGACTCTTTGCTCCGTGTCTTCTGCCGCTTCTCCCATTGTTCCTTTACACCCAGGAAACCCTTTAAGCAAGACAAGATGGGAAAGGTGCACCAGGTCTTAAACTAGGGGGCACAAGTGCCCAGGCCCTTGGCTTGGACACACCCAAATCCTCGGTGAGGTGTGAGGAAGGGGGAAGGTTCCTCGAGGGCCCTGCACACACACACATGCAGAGAGAGACAGTATTTGCTGGTAATGTGTACAAGGGTCTTTTCCGAAGCCCACCACAGAGTTCGATAGCAATCTGGTGATTCCTAAGACTAACCTACCTTACAGGACTGTTGCGAGACTTTCTTGGAGAACATATGTGAAACTCTATGAATGCTACCAAATGCTGCTAACATGCTAAGCAGGATTAATGACGCCATCCTAAACAAACTGAGCTAGGAAGTGACCCCCATCAGACACAGGCAGCCCACAGTCCTGAGAAAACATGCATAGGATTGCATTGCACACCCTGCATATCACAGCTGTGGGGGCAGAAAAGCCCTCCTCTTCCGGTAACTTTTCATTTCATTCAGCCTTCCAGTTGCTTTTCCATGGCACCTTTTCAAAGGCTCTGCATCTGGGGAGAGCCTGACTTACTTTTGCACATCTGACTCTTGTCAAGTAGCCATAGAAAGATTTAGGGCTAGGAGCTCCCCGTTCTCTGAGTTACTGGCAGCTGCTTCAGTAGCGCTGAGACCGGTGGGCATCTATTTTCCCTGCCTTGGCTTCTGTTCCTCTCGCCTCCCCGCCTCCACTAGCCACTGGGGCGTGTTAGCCCTGGAGGGGTGGCTGAATCGCCGCTTTGCTCCGAAGACTTCACGTGCGCCTTTAGGGAGGGAGCGAGGCCCGGAGCATGCAGCGGGGCCAGAAGAGGGCGCGCTGGCCCCGTCGCTCGCCGGACCGGCTCCCTGGTTCTGAGCAGCGGCCCGGCCCGGCCCATGATGCGCCCGCCGAGCAGCGTCCGCGCAGGAGCGATCCGTGCGCGCGGGTGGAAGTGAAGGGAAGGGAGAGGTCCGGCGCGTCCCGCGGGGTTTCAGCCCAGGCATTCATTCCCCTTCGCGCGAGGGGGGGGCTGGACATGGCGCCGCCCCCCCCCCCCCCGCCCCGCGGCCCCGTCTTTGGGAAGGGCGCGAGCGGGCTCCCGTGCGCGAGGCCAGGCGGCGGCTGTTCCCCGGAAAGGCCGAGGCGGGCAGCAGGGGCCCGCCACGTGCTTCGACTGCGCCCCCGTCTGCCGTGGCAGCTGGGGCTGATGGAAGGTGTAGTCCGGGGAAGGCACCCGGTTCCTTGTCCCTGCCCTGTCTAGAGACCGAGCTGGTTGGAACCGAGTCGCCCCGGCGGCAGCCCCCTCACATGGCCCCGGCGGCCGTGACTGATGGGAACTGCAATCCAGGAACACCCATACCGAAGCGGGGCAGGCGTTGCGCGATCCTCCGACGGTTCGGTCCGGAAGGGGGCCGGAAGATTGCGCCCGCGGCGTGGCGGACGCCCCTAGGATCGCGCGCTTGCTCCCGGGGCGGCAGCCTTCGGATGCCATCCCTGCCGCCA